AAGGATCAACAGGAGGTGTACTGGGGCTGTAGGCAGGGCATCTTGTCGTGGGTATCAAGCCCTACGTGTCCATGTACCTATATAGTATATATATATATATATATATGTATATATATATATAGTATATATATATAGTATATATATATATATAATATAGTATATATATATATATAGAGGGTAAAGATTTAGTTTTAAGTTTTATGGTTATACGGGCCAAAAAGTTACGAATGCATGGACCCTTAGCCCTTATAAAGCCTAAACCCTAAACCCTGACCCTAAACCCTCAGTATCCTAAAGGCATCACCCTTTAACCTGCTCCCTTGGTCATCTCGAATCCTCCATCCTCGATGCGTGCATAGAAGGAGCAACCTAATGCGCCCAAGATACTCAGAATATAGGGTTTAGTATAACCCTAAACCCTAAACCCTAAACCCCAAACCCTACACCTATAGGCTTTAGGGTTTAGGGCTCAGGCTTGACAATACAGGCTTAGCTTAGCCAAGAGAGGGCATGCAGAGCATGCTGATTGGTAGCTTGGTGGGGTTGGGGAGGTACTTAGGGTTTAGGGTTTCGGGTTTAGGGTTTTGGGTTTTGGGTTTTGGGTTTTGGGCTCATTGTGTGAAACCATGGGCTTGGCAATTTCTGAGAATTGGCATTCTGGGACTGTTTTGATGCAATATGCTTTAACATTCTGGATAAAAATGCCGGAATCATACACATATGAAAATATGTTGCGACACCAGCAGCACCTAACACGGAAGAAGACCAAGCATTCTCACCCTAAACCCTAAACCCTAAACCCTAGTTAAGCCCTAAACCCTAAACCTTCAAACCCTAATACCCTAAAACCCAGAACCCTAAACCAAGGCAGTGAGGGTAATTGCTGCTATCATTCGTGCCGATACCGACAAGAGCTCGAATAGGCAGGTGATACATCACGCCCGTGCATGGCTTTTGCGCAATACGAACACTAAACCCTACACTCTAAACCCTAAACCCTAAGCCCTGAGCCCTGAGCCCTAAACCCTACTCACCATGGGCCGCTCAATTCAAGGGATCAGCCCTCGGTACAAAAGGGGCCTTAAGAATCAGAATAGGGTGTTGGGGGTTTAGGATTTAGGGTTGTGGGAGTTACTATACTACAATTACAAAAGGACCATGATTCAAGTTTTTGCGGTGAAGGGCTTAGGAAATTTAGGGTCTAGGGGGTTGGGTTGAAGGTTTAGGGTTAGGGTTTAAGGTTTAGGGTTTGAGCGGTTTAGGGGCTTAGGGGTTTTGGAGAAAAGGGGCTTAGGGTTAGGGGATTAGGGTTTGGGTCTTCGGCCCTGTTGAACCCTAAGCCACAATAGGCGAGAGGTACGTAATATCGGGGCCGGAATAATTACGAATAGCATTCCCTTCGGGAGACAGTAGTGGGTCTCGGAACTGTAGCTTCTTTCTCTTCGCTCATACACCGGAACCCCGGATGTAGGGTTTAGGGATGTTTAGGGTTTAGGGTTTAGAGCCTCCATTCGCCTCTTTCCTGCAGGATTTAAGGCTAACAACAGTGTAAGCTTTGTCATAGTTGGGTAACATTTTACATTTTTAAGGGTACTTAAACCCAAAAAGGAATAAACAAATCATGTTAATACTATCCCAACCATGAATCAGTAAGCAGCCAGTGCAGTGCCCTAAACCCTACACCCTAAACCCTAAACCCTAAACCCTAAACCCTAAACCCTAAACCCTAAACCCTAAACCCTAAACCCTAAACCCTAAACCCTAAACCCTAAATGCCATAGGCTAATGTTTTTGGGCGTGTGAGTCGAGCGCACCCTCAACAAGGCGGGGCGGCTGTCTAGTATCGCTCCTTATCCCGAGGCCTGATACAAGTCCTGAACCACCCTAAGGGTTAGGGTTTAGGGTTTAGGGTTTAGGGTTTTGGGTTTTGGGTTTAGGGTTTCGGGTGCGTCCTGAACCACCCTAAGCCCTGGACGTTGTACCTCGCAGCTTCTCAGACATCGAAAGCGTCTCATGAGAGTTTCTTATGGGCACCTGGCATTCAAAACTTTTGATAGTTTAGGGCCCCTAGTGTTTTTAGGGCTTACCCGTTGTTCGATCTACCGACAGGGCTCTCGGCTGTCCCGACAGCCATGGCCTTTGCTTTCTTGGTGCCGGCCGGCTCCGGCCCAAGCCCCCTGCCTTCAATCCAAATTGGGGGGTTTTCGTGGGCTGGAAATAAGGAGGGAGCTCAAGGACCCCAAGCAAAAAGCCCTAGACCCTAAACCCCGAACCCCAAACCCTAAACCCCAAAACCCCAAGCCCCAAACCCGAAACCCCAAACCCTAGATCCCAAACCCTGAGGGTGTAGGGTTAAGGTTGAGGCCGCCCAGGTTCCACGTGGCTTGCTTGCTTGTGTCAGAGCAGTACTTCGACTCTCCTCGGAAGCTGGATCAGTAAGCTGCTGCTTGTAGGGAGGTATGAAAGTACCCTAAACCCTAATCCCTCAAAGCCCTAACCTTAGATACCCTTATATAAGTAAATAATATATATATATATATAGATATATATATATATGTATACAGATATACATATGAATATATATATATACACACACATGCGTATACATGTAGATATGTCGCCCTTCAGGGGTTGCGCAGGAATCCGAATTTCCTACTTTCCGTTCCGAGAACCAGCACTTGCGTGCGGATGTTGAATCAGGGTTTACGTGACTATTGTTGGTGCGTATAAGGTTCGTGTTTGATATTGGTGAGTGTAGAAATTGGGTGTCCTTGTGGGGACAAGAATTTCAACCCTACTTCATATACCTACTGATGGAGGCGTTCGGCCCCCCAAGAAGCTCGAAGCTTATCTTGTTGTGGGTTTCGTGCAGGGCTGAGGGCTCAGGGTTTAGGGTTTAGGGTTTAGGGTTCAGGGGTTTGGTTTGGGGTTTAGGGGTTTAGGGTTTACTAAGTTTACTACGAGGAAGCAAGGTTTGGGCTCTTAAGGCTGTAGCCCCAGCAGAGCCACTCCGAATCCTTGTGCAAGCACATGTGGAGCACATGAAGAAAGCTAAAACTCCTAAGCCCTAAGCCCTAAGCCCTAAGCCCTAAGCCCTAAGCCCTAAGCCCTAAGCCCTAAGCCCTAAGCCCTAAACTCGAGCCCTAAGCCCTAGCCCTAAACCCTAAATCCACGACCCCCTAAAGCCATCTAAAGCCTTTGCTGTCTGGTGATACTGGGTTTAGGGTTTAGGGTTTCGGGTTTAGGGTTTAGGGTTTCGGGTGCTCTTTTGGGAGGTTCTGGGCTTCTTCATAAATGAAACCAACACCAGAAAGGGCACACTTATCACGACAAACGCTGTGTTTCCCTACGCCCTGGAATTCCACTTGTGGTTTCTGGGCTACCAGGCCTAAACCCTAAACCCTAAACCTTAAGCCCTCAAGTCTCAGTTCCGAAAGCAAGCTTGGCGTCACCGTCTGTCGGTCGAAGTTTTTGAGGGGGCACACACCCTCTAAGAGCTTAGGGCTCAGGATACTGGCAGCCTGTAATACTGTAACCCTAAACCCTTAGAGGGTTACCCTCAGCCCTCAACCCTCAACCCTCAACCCTAAACCCTAAACCCTAAACCCGAAACCCTAAACCCTAAACCCTCCTACCCTAAACCCGAAACCCAAGTCGCCTCAGCCCCGGCGCGTCCGTGGGCGGCTCCCACCGCAGCACCGGGGACGCCTGCTCCGGCGCCTGGGCGGCAGCAAGAGAGGGGTTTAGGGTTTAGGGTTTAGGGTTTGGGGTTTGGGGTTTGGGGTTTAGGGTGGTCTGGGTCCTCCTGGCCTGGGGGCCTTGGGGTACCCCCCCCTGAAACGGCCAGCGACCTCCAGAACGAAGACCTTGGGGTTTAGGGTATTTACCTTATTAAGGGGACCTGGTCCTCGGGAGAACCTGTTCCGGTACCGGGCCCATCGTGGGTGCTACCGACCTCCGGGCTGCAGGAGGCGGGCAAGCGACCTGGTCGCGCCATAGAGGTCGAAGGGCTTAAGCGCCGCCCCCCTTCTTGTAGGGGGGCGGCCTAGGCCCTGAGTTTAGGGTTTAGGGTTTAGGGCGTTGGGGCGTTGGGGCGTTGGGGGGTTAACCGACCCTAAACCCTAAACCCCAAACCCCAAACCCTAAACCCGAAACCCTAAACCCTAAACCCTAAACCCTTCCTTCAAGCAAGTCCAGAGCCCAGGCTGCGCCGCGCTCGCCTTGCGGCCTCGGAGTCGGCCTAGCGGCTGCGGCTCTCGTGGCCGCACGGGCCTTGGGATGGCCGGGGGTAGGGTTTAGGGTTTAGGGTTTAGGGTTTAGGGTTTAGGGTTTAGGGTTTAGGGTTTAGGGTTTAGGGTTTAGGGTTTAGGGTTTAGGGTTTTAGGTTTAGGGTTTAGGGTTTAGGGTTTAGGGTTTAGGGTTTAGGGTTTAGCGCTTAGGGTTTTTGGAGTTGTGTTTTGCAGTAAGGTTTATGGACTGGAGAGCTACATGCGCCTAACCCCTAAACCTTGGGATGTTCCCCCTTATACTAGCAGTCCTTAGTAAGGACTATAGGACCACCCCCTTATTATAATTCCGATGAAGGACTGTTTGTATAAGGGGCAACATCCAAAACCCTAAACCCCATACCCCAAACCCTAAACCCTAAACCCCAAACCCTGTTTAGGGTTTAGAGTTTAGGGTTTCTTTTTAAGCAGAATCCCTGTAGAACATGCTTCGAATGTCCGGAGCCTTGTTGCTCTCCGCGGCTTGCCATTTGGCTCCCAGATCAGCACGTTAAAACTGGCTCAAATCCAGGAACCCTAAACCCTACACTCACCCTAAACCCTAAACCGCATTTTTTGGCTGTGTAGGTTTTTGGGGGTCTGGAGGCTGAGGCATTGGGATGCAGCATCAGGGTTTCGTGGGTTTGTTTTTCGGGTTAATTACAACTTTTCAGAGGTTTAGGCCGTTTCAGGGCTTAAGCTTTCGTGTTTAAGTGTTGCAAAGGCACGCAAGCCATGAGCGCCAAGCAGTACACGCGCTATCCCATCGGCACGCCTGGTGAGTGCCCTGCCTCAATGACGACAGGTCCCTCCACTCTCAATACACCCCCACAACCCCAAACCCGAAACCCTAAACCCTAAACCCTAAACCTTATAAACCCTAAATCACCACCCTTGCCATTTTTTCTACGATGTTGCGGGGGTTCAGTCCTTGGGGGGGGGGGGGGGGGGGGGGGGGGGGGGGGGGAGGGGGGTTGTGGACAGTTGATAAAGCCCCCAAAAGCCCCAAGCCCTCAACTTTAAGCGGGATCGATGTGAGAGTCCTGGGCCACGAAGAACCTGTTCGAGCAAATTTGGGCCGAAGACCTCCCATATCCCCAAGCCGAAGGATTTAAACGGCAAGGGGGTTTAAGGCTTAGAGTTTAGGGTCTAGGGTTTAGGGTTCAGGGTCCTGGCCCCTAAGCTCGGAAGTTGTTGTAGACGAAAACCTGCTGGAAACCGTGAACCTTGGGCCCCAAGCCCTAAACCCCAAAACCCAAACCCTAAACCCTAAACCCTAAACCGTGAACCTCAGGCCGTGGGGCGAGGAGGAGCGGCGCCAGTGGCTGTCTGGGCGCCGCTCGGTCTGCGACTACTTCGAGACGAGCCTTGGGGAGTTTATATGTGTAGTTGCTGTTGAGTGATTCAGGGGTTTAGGGTTTAGGGTTTAGGGTTTAGGGTTTAGTTGCTTTGAATGCTTCATGGTGTCAGATTGTTTAATTCTAACATAATTCTTGTCCGCACAAAACTCGGGTTTAGGAGTCTTTGAGCGCTCGGGGTGTACATGGTTTAGGGGCTTTTGGTCTGGGAGTTTGTGGTTTTAGGGGTCTTTTTGTGCACCCTGGGCTGTCAGGAATGTCACTACTGGAGAGCGAGAAAAGGGACCATCATTCATCCCGGCCCCAAGCCCCCAAAACGATCTTAGTGTCGTAGCACGAAATTTTGGCAAGTGGGCTGCTCTAACCCTAAACCCTAAACCCTAAACCCTAAACCCTAAACCCTAAACCCCTGTAAGCCCGAATCCTTCAAAGCCTTCTCTTGTTGGGACGCTAGGGCTCCTACGTACCCCGAAACCCTACGATTTGCTTCCCAAAGGATCCATATATACTTGGGCCCTAAAGCTACTATGTAGGAACCCCTTTAAGGCCTAAGTATATACTATATAGGAACCCCTTTAAGGCCTAAGTATATACGATATAGGAACCCCTTTAAGGCCTAAGTATATGCTATATAGGTACATGGATCCTTAGGGCTTAAGACCCCCCTCAAAAAATGAAGAGCAATCATCCCTATCTTACCCTTACAAGGAAGTTTTTGTTTTTTTTTTTTTGGGGGGGGGGGTTCTTAAGCAATTGGTAGAAGCCCAGAATGCATCTCGGCCCCTGAGCTACTGCCATCCCGCAGAGTGTCCGGCCAGGGTTTTCTCGCTTTATCGCTTCCCAAGGATTGTGTCGCCTCTCCACCGCATATCGCAGGTGGGGACTGAGAGAAGTGAGGGCCATGTTTAGTGTGTAGGGTAAGCCCTAAACCCTAAACCCTAAACCCTAAGCACGGTTTCTTGAAGCCGTCCAAGCCTTGACCCGCGAAGCCCGGAGGAGGTGGGCGGTGAGCTCCTGCAGTATGGAGCGATTGACTACCGTCCTCTGGGTGCTGCCCCTGCGTAGCCCAGTGGTATCTTTTTTGGCCCTAAACCCTAAACCCTAAACCCTAAACCCTAAACCCTAAACCCTAGACCCTAGACCCTAGACCCTAGACCCTAGACCCTAGACCCTAGACCCTAAACCCTAACCCTTCCTATGTTGTGGCTTCTGGGCTACCGAGGCCCTCTACCCGCTTTTTGCCTATCGCTCCGCTGTCTGGGATGAAGCGCTGCCGATGGCGGCGATCACTGGTGGGGTTCATGGCCACTCGGCTTCGGGTCTAGGGTCTAGGGTTTAGGGTTTAGGGTTTAGGGTTTAGGGTTTAGGGTTTAGGGTTTAGGGTTTAGGGTTTAGGGTTCCAATGAGATTGCAGCCTACAGAGGCAGGCAGAAGGGTTTCGTGTTTAGGGCTTAGAAGCCCGAAAGACTCTCCTCCATGCATCTCCCAAAGCCCTAAAACCCTAAACAAGCCCGGAACCCTGAACCCTGAACCCTAAACCCTAAACCCTAAACCCTAAACCCTAAACCCTAAACCCTAAACCCTAAACCCTAAACCCTAAACCCTAAACCCTAAACCCTACAGAAAACCCTAAACCCTAAACCCTACCTGAGGCTACGAGCTAGGGAGCCTGGGTGCCCTCGAGTTCATCTCCCAGCACTTCCGGGCCTTCTCTGCACAGAAGACACTCGTGGCAGCAAGAAGTTTGGGGTTTTAGGGTTTAGGGTTTAGGGCTAGAGGGCTAGAGGGTTTGGAGTCTAGGGATCTAGGGCTACAAGGCTACAGTGGCTCTAATTATTGCTTGTTCTGTTGGCCTCGGATCCTTTGAGCCACGAAGGGCTCCTCTTTTTGTTTACCTCGGGCAGTCAGGGTGATCTAGGACAGTCTCTGGCGGGTAGAGGCTTAAACAAAGCCGATACTGTTTTACAAGATTGTCATTCAACCCTAAACCCTAAGCCCTAAACCCGAAACCGTAAACCCCATGTAGAGAACAGCTACCCTACCTGTAATTGCTTTGTATCATGATGGGGATTCTCGTTGCTGAGGGGTACATGATTAGATTTCGCTGGGCCCCGCAGTCCTCTAAATGGGGGGTTACGAGAATTAGGGACCCTGATACAGACCCCCCCCCCCCCCCGAGTCGTAGGAACCCCTTGTCATAAAGACTCCAACTAGCTAGCCCTCAACCCGAAAACACTAAACCCCTAAACCGTAAACCCCTAAACCCTAAACCCTAAACCCTAAACCCTAAACCCTAAACCCTAAACCCTAAACCCTAAACCCTAAACCCTAAACCCCCACATGAGGTCCGTGAACTTGCTGATCTTGCCATGTGTGGCGCCCTGGGGTCTGGAGATGTGCCGCTGGCCTCTGCAAGACTATCTGGGGTTTGGGGTTTAGGGTTTAGGGTTTCGAGTTACGAGGGTTTAGGGTTTAGGGCTTAGGGCTTATTAGGGCTTATAGGGTTTAGGGTTTAGGGTTTAGGGTTCAGGGTTCAAGGTTTGGGGTTCGGGGTTTAGGGTTTAGGGTTTAGGCTCAGGGGGGGGGGGCAGGGATTTAGGGTTTTGTCAACCCTTTGCCATACCTGAAGCTGAGCAAGTAACTTGATGTCTTGTTGTTGATGCCCCGAGACTTTGAGAAAACTCAGCCGCCCAAGTAAGGTTGCGCATGTAGAGTCCCCCAACCCGGCTTTAAACTTGTAACCCTTACATCCCACATCGCTGACCCCTAAGCCCTGATCCCTAAACCCTAAACCCTGAACCCCAAACCCGAAACCCGAAACCCGAAACCTTGAACCCCCCAACCTTCAGGCCCGTTCCCGAAAACTCGAACCCCAACAGAAAACCCTAAAACACCCCCCCCCCCCCTCTTCCCTTGTTCCAAGGCGAGCGCTGGACGCCCCTGGCCGTGGACCCCAACCGGGCCTTTAAGCCCGACGGGCGGAGTGAGGAACCTTCGGGGTTTAGGGTTTAGGGTTTAAGGTTTAGGGTTTAGGGTTTAGGGGTTTGGGGGTTTAGGGTTTAGGGGTTTGAGGGTTTAGGGTTTAGGGGTTCCGGGTTCAAGGTTTAGGAGCAAATCAGAATCTACGGTTTTGGGTTTTTTGGGGGGCTTTTGGGGTTTGTCAGGATTCTGTTGATTTGTTTGAGGGGGTTCAGGGTTCTTTAGGGTTTAGGGTTTAGGGTTTAGGGCTACTAGGACCCAGAGTGGGCCTCCTTGTTCCCTTTTGTGGGGCGCTTTGGTTTCCAAACAGTCCCTTTAAGCCACACAGAGCCCCTTCATGTTCCCAGACCCCGTCGAGCCCGTATTCGCGTCCGTGGTTTCGGCTTCAGTGGTTCAGAGGTTCACGGGGGTTTACAGGGCCATAGAACAAACCTTGGGGGTACTGTAGGCTTTAGGGTATGAGAGTGGAGAATCTGATTTAGGTTCCCTTTGCGGGTACCCTATGTAGTACGGCGCCTGATAAACAGGATACCCTTTAAAGGGGCCCTAATTTAGAGCACTACCCATACAGTTAGAGCATTGCCCATGTAGCACCCTAAGCCCTAAACCACCCGACACCCTGTACTGTGATTTGACTCCGCCCCCCTCTTGGAAAGGAGGCAGCACTGGCTATGAAGTGCATCGCGGAGCATCGCGCGCGGTCCAAGTTCCTCCTGCTTCACATGGACATTTGCTGAGCCAACTCAAGAGCGTAAGCGTTAAACTTCTGTATGTACTTGGAGGTTCATGGGTACTTAATTATAACCACAATTATGACTCTAATTACTTAATGCCCTACTTGGAGGACGTCAGTACCCTGAACCCCCAAGTATAAGGGAAAGTAGTACAGGTAGGAATGCAATCGCCCCGTACCTGCATTCCAGTAGCAGCGCCCTAATGCCCTCTCGTTTTCACTCCCCTTCGAAACCCACTCAAAATAGCACGGAACTTTTCTGTTGCCAGACTTCTGGGCAACCTAGCCACAATGCTTTTTGAGATTCCCCTGTTGGCCTGTTGGGGTGCCTCCCAACACCACGAAGCTCTCGCTCATGCCCGGGGTGGGGAGAAGTGAGGACTTGCACGAGACCACGGACACGGACAACACCGAGTTCACCCCCGCACGCTTTGCGCGCGATGGCCTGACGGAAGACAAGTACGAGGAATGGCACCGCGGACCGGATTTTTCCAGAGTCCAGGGCAGTGTAGGGAGAAGTTCTGCCCCAACATAGTTCACTAGTTTTTTGGGACTTTGTAGAACTATTATAGAAGTGTGTACGACGCAGGATCTTTTTCTTTGGTAGCAAGTGAGCAACCTTCGCGTTGGTGTTTGCCCTAGCTGGCGCACAGCCGGAGTCATAGCCCTTACAGCTGAGAAGGGCCTCAGGGCATCTACTACTAACCCTAAACCCTAAACCCTAAACCCCAAACCCCAAGCCCTAGCTTCTTCAGTTTAGGTACGACATCCCAGATGGCTTCTACATCTACGGGGACTCCGCGCGTCCGAAGGACCAGCTGGCATTCTCCAAGCACATCATCTCGGCCGTGGAGAAGGCCTTGGAGGGCGAGGGGGGAAGGTAAATCTAAACCCTAAACCCTAAACCCCAAATCCCAAACCCTAAACCCTAAACCCTAAACCCTTAGGGCTTATAGGCCCGTAGAAGGCTGGGGGGGGGGGGAGGAGCTCGAAATTGTCAGCAGCCACTTTGGGATGGTATTGACCTGGATGACAAGTGGGGCCGGTTGATGCTTTAGGGGTTTAGGGTTGGGGTTTAGGGTTTAGGGTTTAGGGTTTGGGGTTTGGGGTTTGGGGTTTGGGGTTTAGGGATAGGGTTTAGGGTTTATGGGTTTAGGGTTTAGGGGTTAAGCCCATCCAGAGGTCACGCACATTGCGGAAGCGGACGAGCGTGGGAATATCGTCGGGGAGCCCATTTCTGCGCCTGGGGTGCTGCTTGCCCCGGGCGAGGGCACGGCGGACGCACACACCGATGCCATGTACGTCACCACAACAGAGGCGTCATTGTACCAAAGCCATTTTTTCGGGTCTGTGTGATTGAGGTGCGTTGTAACTAGTTTGTTAGTTTATGTGTTTAGAGGCCGTTTGGGGTCAACAAGTTTTAGGGCAAAAAGTTTTTCGGGGCTTTATCGGTTTTAGGTTTGAGTGGTCTGGGTTTTCATTATGCTGCTACCGCTTTGGTGGGGAGGTTAGGCCCCAAACCCTAAACCCTAAAGCCTAGTTGAATAGACCCCCATTTCTGGGATACCAAGCCACTAGCATATAGTTAGCTCTGAACTCTCAGCCCCAAAACCCTAAACCCTAAACCCTAAACCCTAAACCCTAAACCCTAAACCCTAAACCCTAAACCCTAAACCCTAAACCCTAAACCCTAAACCCCCAGGTCTACCCAGACTCGAAGCGGACGAGCCGCGCGGAGTGCAACCGCGCGCAGGCGGCCTCCATCGTGGCAGGCCTCGAGTTCGCCCTGGCGCACCAAGACTGACAGGAAAGGCTCATGCTCAGAAGGGTTTAGGGTTTAGGGTTTAGGGTTTAGGGTTTAGGGTTTAGGGTTTAGGGTTTAGTAAGGTGTAGGGTTTAGGGTATGGGGTTAGGGGTTTAGGGTTTAGGGTATGGGGTTAGGGGTTTAGGGTTTAGGGTTTAGGGTTTAGGGTATAGGATTTAGGGTTTAGGGTTTAGGGTTTAGGGTTTAGTGTACAAGGTACAAGCTACAAGCCTCAGAGGGCTTCTCGTGTTCAGAAGGGTTGTGGGTTTGTACCCTCAACTCTTAGCAGCCCTGAAGCCTAAACCCGAAGCCCTACTACAAGTCTAAGCCCTAAGCCCTAAGCCCTAAGCCCTAAGCCCTAAGCCCTAAGCCCTAAGCCCTAAACCCTAAACCCTAAACCCTAAACCCTAAACCCTAAACCCTAAACCCTAAACCCTAAACCCTAAACCCTAAACCCTAAACCCTAGCTGAACCTTTGGGTCGACACGCCGCCCTTGGCTGCGGAAGTTCCGCCTGAAATCACAAGGCCCGACGTGCTCAAAAAGAGATACGACGGGGTTGAGGGATTTAGGGGTTAGGGTTTTTTTTTTTTAGGGTTTAGGGTTTAGAGTTTAGGGTTTAGGGTTTGGGGTTTAGGGTTTAGGGTTTTGGGGTTTGGGTGTTTGGTGTTTTTGGGCTTCGGATTGCAGGGGGTTAGGTTTGCAGGGTCAGGGTGTAACGAGGGAGGCCAGTGTTACCCTATTGCCCTCTGGTTTACTTTATAAACTACAAGACGGTTTATCAAGGGTTTACCTGGGTTTAGGGTTTAGGATTTAGGGTTTAGGGTTTAGGGCCTGAAACCCCTCTGTGGAGACTCGAAAACCCAGGAAAACGTAGTCGCTTGGGAGAACCAGGGTGTCGTTTCGGGTTCAGGGTTTAGGGTTCAAGGTTTAGGGTTTAGGGTTTAGGGTCTAGGGTTTGGGGTCGAGGGTCTAGGGTCTGGGGAGTCTAGGGTCTTGAAAGAAGGGTTTCGCGCGATGCTTTTGACGGGTTTCCGACGGGTATCTCCGGGTTTCCTGAATAGGTTCCCAAGAGCTCCAGGATTGTAGAACCAGGTTGTCTTTGCGGTGTTGACAACTTGGGCTTTCACCACCGGTTTCTACAACGACCCACCCTTTCTTAGGTTATTGGTTCTCTAGGTTAACCTTTCTGAGTCACCGCCCAAACCAGGAATCCAGAGGATTCTTGGCTATCCGGCAGGCGTTTTGTCGGAATACTAGATTCCAGAGTAGGCCCTGATTCCCTTTCTTCGGGCTTGGGTTCCCTGAGAAGCCCCTCTAAACCAAAAAGGCTACCCTTCTTCATTCCTAGGTTCCTCTTGGGTCTAGATGAAGGTGCCAGGGGCCTGATACTATACCCTCCACTACGTGCCTGCCTTTCTTGGGGGGATGCCCGATGCCGCTGATTTTTTGGGGGGGTTTCCCAAACCCCAAGCCCTACAAACCCTAATCCCTACAAGGGACCCTGAACAGGCCCTTGTTCCCTTTTTGTAGTTTTTTCTGGTTCCCGTCTAAGCCCCTTTAAACCAAGAAGGACACCCTTTTATTTCCAGGTTACTCTTGGGCCTGGAAGAGTCATCATATTAACCCCTAATTACTACTTACCTGCCTTTTTGGGGGGGATGCCCCATGTCGCTGAAATTTGGGGGTTTCCAAACTCCAAGCCCTGTAAACGCTATAGCCTACGCCCAACACCGTCGTGAACAACCCCCAGGGGGTCCATTTGTAATACTACTATGGATTTAGGTACCCCAAAACCCTATTTAGTATGGTTTTTTGGTGCTTAATTCCATAATAGTAATAATACAAATGGACCCTCTGGCCCTCTGGGCCAAAGGCGACTTCAAGAACCTGAAAGCCACAACCTCCTTCAAGCCTGGCAGTCAGGACGCCACAAGCCCGCAAGGGTCGTACAATGTAGGGTTCAGGCCTAAACCCGAAACCCTGAACGCTAAACCCGAAACCCTAAACGCGAAACCCTAAACCCTAAACTAAACCCTAAACCCAAAACCCAAAACCCTAAACCCTAAACCCTAAACCCTAATCTCACCGCCCAGGCCGCGGCGCGCGTCAAGCGCCGGAGCCGCGTCTCACGAAAGGGCTGGGGCGATGCCCCTTGGGCCAAAGACAAGGGTTTAGGGTTTATAGGGTTTGGGTTTAGGGTTAGGATTTAGGGTTAGGGTTAGGATTTAGGGTTTAGGGTTCAGGTTTTAGGGTTTAGGGTTTTGTATAAGCATTGGCCCCCCTAAAGTCACTCTACAGGAAGCACGGAAAAGTCACGTATGCGCTCTTTTTAGGGACATGGCCTATTCGCAGAATTTAGTAAGCACCCCTCCCCATCACTGGATCTTGATCTGAACAACGTTGCTGGATTTCGAGTGGGGGGCCTCATACCCCAGGCCCGAAGCCCTTTCTGGGCAGCCTAAGTACACAGCCCCAAAACCCATCGACGGCTTTTGTTTATACATACGCTTTCGTAGGGGATGATTCATGCTCGGCAGACCTTTTTAATCTCAAACCCTAACACTGAAAGGAAGATGGCCTGAGCCCTCTGCCTTAGAGTAGACTCTATATATAGGGTTTATAAGGCTTACAGGGTTTATAGGCTTTTGTATGGTTTATAGCATTTGTACCTTGACATGGAGTGCTTGGCGCCCCCAACAGTTCCACACCTTTCTGGGTTTCGCGTTTCACCTAAACCCCAAACCCCAAACCCCAAACCCTAAAACCTAAACTCTAAACCCCAAACTCCAGACGCGTCAAGGATGTGACGTTCTACGAGGCCTCGGTGACCTCGAACGTGGAGGCAGGCAGAGTAACAATTGGAGTCCAGGGTCCTAGTCCTAGGGGTTGGGTTTAGGGTTTAATTAGGGTTGAGGCTTGAGGTTTGAGGGCTGAGGGCCGAGGGCGTTAGGGTTTTTAGGGTTTTCGGGTTTTAGGGGTTGACGGTTTTAGGGTTGACGGCTTAGGATTGAGGGTTTCAGGGTGTTAGAGTTGAGGGTTTTAGAGTTGAGGGGTTTAGGGTTGAGGGGTTTAGGGTTTTAGGGTTGAGGGTTGAGGTTTTTAGGTCAGGGGTTACGATTTCAGGGTTGAGGGGTTGTGGGGAGTTTTTGGGTTGAGATGTTTTTTGGCTGGAGTTCAGAGAAACAATTAGTTGTCCACCCAAGGGTGCGGCTGGAGAGGTCGTGTTTAGGGAGCCGTAGTCGTCCCGCTAACCCCAAACCCAAAACCGATCCCCTCTCCCATCTGCTCTCCAAGACCTAGTGAAGGTTCAGGGTTTAGGGCTTAGAGCTTCGGGCTTAGGGTTTAGGAGGTTGAGGTTTGAGGGGATTTAGGTTTAGGGCTTCGGGTTTTTAAGGCTTTATGGTAACCCCATAGCCCTAAACCCTACACTAACCCCTAGACCCCTAAACCCGAGCACCCTACAACCCTGACCCTGAACCCTCAACCCTGTACATTAGGGGTCCCTTTTTTGGCCCTGGATATGGGGGGAGGGGGGGCACCCTAAACCCAAAACCCTAAACCCTAAATCGTAAACCCTAAACCCTAAACCCTAAACCCTAAATCCTAAACCCTAAACCCTGAACCCTAAACCTGTCAAGCGCTTCACCGGTGAAGGCCGCAGAGGGCCTGCGGCTCATCTCCCTGAGTGCCGGGGAGGCTGGGTTTAGGGTTTAGGGTTTAGGGTTTAGGGTTTAGGGTTTAGGGTTTAGGGTTTCGGGTTTCGGGTTTTCGGGTTTCGGGTTTTCGGGTTTCGGGCTTAGGGCCCTAGCATTCTACGCAGGCGACTAGTTGAGCTAGATGCTCTTCGAGGCCTAAGCCCTAAAAAAGCCCGAGTCAAGCAGATTAGACTTTGAAAACCCTTATATCTAAAACTCTTGAAACCCTAAAAACACAACCAAACCCCAAACGCCTGAGCCCTAAAATTTTAACACCCCAAAGCTCTAAAATCCCCAAAATTCTATCTAAAACCTTAAAACCCTGAACCCTAAAACTCGAAACCCCAAACCCCAAACCCAAAACCCCAAACCCTAAGTGGCCAGGACGTTTCCGGACCCTACCAGCGAGGTGGCCAGTTCGTTCAGGCAAAGGCAAGCGACGAGGCCTGGCCAGGGTTTAGGGTTTAGGGTTTAGGGTTTAGGGATTAGGGTTTAGGGTTTAGGGTTTAGGGTTAGGGTTTAGGGTGCACCCGAACCCTAAACACCCCAAGCCCCTTTTCAACTACTTCATGTCGGGCTTTTAGGTTTTGAGCTTAGAGCGTTGCGCGAGCGCCAGCGCGCCCTCAACCCCAAACACCCTCAACACCCCAAACACCCTCAACACCCTCAACACCCTCAACACCCTCAACACCCTCAACACCCTCAACACCCTAAACCCTAAACCCTAAACCCTATCAAGCCTAAAAAGCCTGTAAACCCTGTCAGCCTGTAAGCCCTAAACACAATTCTTTTGTCTGCGAAGTTGTCTGAGTCCTGGTCCGTCTCCATGATACGGGCGCAGAGACCCGTACATTCTTGTGGTACCAACCATAGGGGCTTTTGGGCTTTGGGGGTTAGGGTTTAGGGTTTAGGGTTTAGGGTTTAGGGTTTATAAAGGGTTTAGGGTTTAGGGTTTAGGGTTTAGGGTTTAGGGTGTCATTACAAGGCACTTTTGTCCAGCAGTTCCAAGGCCTTCGCGACATCATTCAGCGCCAGGTCGTTGTGGGCGAGGCGAAAAGCTACGCTCATCTGTGCCAGGTTTAGGGTTTAAGGTTTAGGGTTTAGGGTGCAGGCTCTGCGCAGTGCCCGGCGCAAACGAGGCACATGATCGCAACCGTGCTGCAGTTCTGGAACACGCCGGCAAAGAGAATCACAGTGCCTGCCTTGGAAGGGGTTTAGGGTTTGGGGTTTAGGGTTTAGGGTTTAGGGTAAACCTTGTCGCAGCCGGCTTGTTTGCTAAGCCCGAACATTCCTCGCCCGGCTC